TCAAAGCCTCATGTAGTCACAGGTGATGCTTTTTGGACGTGGCTGGATCTAGAGTGTGTGATGCTGGGACAAAGGATGTGACACTGGGGTTAAGAGTGGCCCACCCTGGCTATGGGTGGCACCACCAAAAAAGAGGGGTAGCTTGGAAGGGATAAAAGAAAGAGGAAGGCTGCTGCTGCTTTCTGCTTTGCTGCCTTCTGCCTGCCATGAACTATTTCTCCTCTGCCAGGCCCCTCTGCCAGGCCCCTCTGCCAGGCCCCTCTGCCAGGCCCCTCTGCCTTGGAGTCAGCTGATGGTGGACTGAAACCTTTACAAACTGTAAGCTGAAATAAACTTTTGTTCCTTTAACTTTGTTTGTTTTTTAATTAATCAAGTTTACTGGTGTGCTTATACATAATGATCACATTCATAATAGGAATTTGTACCTGCACATGATATAATTTGATTCTTTTTTTCCCTTTCCCTTTCCCTCTCTTCAATTCCTCTTCTGCTCCTTATTTACAAAAGCTTTGTTTTGGGGCTGGGGATTTAGCTCAGCGGCATAAGCACCTGCCTTGCAAGCAGGCAGTCGTGAGTTCGATCCCCGGTATCGATAAAAACGAAAAAGACAAAAAAAAAAAAAAAAAAAAAAAAAAAAGCTTTGTTTCCATTTCTCCTGCTTTTTTTTTTGTTTTTTTCTTTTCCCTTTCTTCCTTCTCCATCTAGTTTCCCTTTCTATTTGAACATTTTCTTCCTGTTTCATAGTATCTATTATGTATTTTGGTCCTTATTTATACTTTCAGTTTCTCACACCAAAGAAATTTACAGAAATTTAAGGACTCAATCAAAAAATGGGCATCGGAGATGAATACACACTTCTCAGATAAAGAAATAAAAATGGCAAATAAATATATGAAAAAAATGTTCAAATTTGAAAGATACAATGCTGAGATTCCATTTCACTCCAGAAAGAGTGACTGTATCAATAAATCAATCAATAGTAAATGCTGCTAGGGCTGTGGGGAAGAAGAAACTCTTTTCCACTGTTGGAGGGAGTGTAGACTGACGCAACCACTCTGGAAATCAATGTGGAGATTCCTTAAAAAACTACAACTAGAGGTTCCATTTGACCCAGTTATTCTCTTTCTTGGTATCTCCTCAAAGGAGTTAAAAGCATCATAGTGCAGAGAGCAGCACAATTTGTAATAGCTAAGTTTTGGAAACAGCCCAAACGCCCATCAACTGACGAGTGCATAAGGAAGAGACAGACACAGTAGAGTACTACTCAGCCATAATGAAAGATAAACTTGAGATATTTCTAGATAAATGGATACACTTTGAGACTATATTCTTCTTTAACACTAGGTATTGGGCATTTTGTTTTAACAATGAGAAAAGTAACTAAGACACACACATCCTCAACTTGATTAGTAAATTCTCCACACACAGGTAATACATAGATGAATAATATGGTAAGTAAAATCAATTACTTCAGTTTCATAAGGGTGGCATCCTGTTCCACCATAGAGAGGAAGAATAAAGGGCTACTAAAAATTAGCATGCCTCTTTTGTGTGCTTGATATTTCATTCAGTCTATCTATGGTATTTAATTTAATTCCTAAAACATCATTCTGAAATTAATATTCTCATTTGTAGTAATGACTGCAGCTCCTGGGAGATGAAAGTATCTAAACAGGGCAACTTAGGGAACTGGCAGTGCTTGGCTTAGGCTCCCAACCAGAATACTCAACGCCAGGTCTCATTCTTCCATACTGGTTTCTCTTCAGGTCTCCACAAACTGTGTTCATAGAGTGTTCAATGCTTAAAATCACATCTCCTAGGAAATCATCTCACAAACCACAGGACATTTCTAATGTGTTGTCAGTCATTCTGCTACATATTCTACCCACCAAAGATTTACCATGTCCTTCTAAGATCATAAACTGACCAAGCCATTTACCATAATGACCAACAGAGCCTACTAAAATATTAATGTAGGGACCATGTGGATACCACAGCTGTTTGTAGATGTTCCAGCCACAGCATTGGCCTCTCTTAGACCAGAGATTACTCGTGCAACATGAAAACGTGAGAGGTGCCCAGCTTGCTTTGAAACAGTATTCTGCAATCCTACCACTTATTTATATTTTTTTATTTTGCATATTTCCAGAAAGAATTTGGAGTGGCCTGCTGAGAACAAAGCCTGTAAACTCAAAATAATAAGTGGTAAGTTGTCAGGTGGGTGAGAGAAAATAAATCTATTTTAAAACTTGAGTTAACATAGATTTTATCTAGTGGCATCTGCCTGAAATATTGGATTATTTGTTTAGTGGATTGAAACCTTGGATTACTTTTTTAGTAAGAAAACTAAGAAGCTAAGATGGTTTAAAATGAAAACATGTAAGAAAATAATTTGGCAAAGTTTTTCTTTTAAGAGTACAAAGTTAAACACTAGAGGAAATGATTCCACATTCCACTTCAGCAAAGTAGAATTACTAGCTTTAACTACAACAGATTGTTTCTGGAGTCAGTCTCTGTCTTTTTCTCTAGAATTTACCAAGATACTGGGCATTTTAGTATAGAAAAGAGAACCTAAGGCACTGCTTACCTTTTTAAAAACAGAAATCTGGTTTTTAATGCATGAGTCTTTATTTATCCAACATCACAGAGCACTAAGAGATTCTATGTAGATACAACTTTTATCAAAATTGGTTCACTTGACTAACAGGAGAAATTTTTAATGTTTCTTTAGAAACCTTTCTTAAATAGATTGTACTTTTTCTTACAGAGATACTGAACATAATTTGATCTTTCTTGATGATCGAGGGTCATTAATGTGTCAGCACAGGCTACTTGGCTTGAAGTCAGACAGACCTGTTTGAAATTTCACGTTTTCTGGTGTTATGAAATGAGAATACTATTGGGCTCACTGGGAATCATTAAATACGGTATGAGAAAGACTTGCCTTTGTTTTATGAACCATAGGTGAAAAAAGGCTTTTATAAAGTAGTTCTTTTTTTTTCATGTCCAAAAGTGAGGTGAGTCCTGAAGGACCAGAGGCTTATAAAAACAGTAAGTGCCCTAAAGCTTTTAAGGCTGCTATACCTTGCTTTTTAATGGTAGATAAATATTTCATGCATTGTCATTAATATTTTATTACGTTTTCAGTTTTCACCTCAAAATGTGTGCTTTAAATTATGTTTTCTGAATTAGTAAAATTACTTTTAGTATTTATTGATATCAAAGTTTTAACTAGAGCATGCAAATTAAAATATGAAGAATATTTGAATTTTCTGAAGCAATTTCATATTCTCTTTCAGGAATTCAGCTATTAAGTAAAATAAGGAAGAATAACCTGGATTTTAAAACATTTACTTTTACCTATTGTAAATAAAAACTAGTTGCTTATTTAAAGCAAAATAAGTGTGCTGTATTCTTAAAGACTTTTTTTTTTTTAAAGAGAAAGTTTAACATCAGTGTACAACTCGAACTCAGCAGGATTCAAGTACAGACTGATCAGCAGAGGCAGACCATCGTTTAATGTGAAATGTGTTAAAAGTACATGCCCTTATCCTCTTCAGGGCATAAAAATATGTGTACACAAGGCATTTAGGACAGAAAGAATGTTTCCAGGGAAGGCTACTATAATCTTTACATTAGTTAAGATTTTTGCCAAATGGTACATGAAAAAGACTTGATTCATTGGTACAGAATTTGTAAAAACAGTTTGGTGTGTACATTTTGCATATATAGCAGTTCTATATATATCATAAAAGCCCACTTTTGCTGTTTCTAATTATTTCTTAAATAAACAGTCAAAAATATTTAGGTTTACCAAGCTAGAAAATATTTGTCTGGTCTCAGAGACTATAGAGAATAAAATGTGTTGAGGAGAAGAATATGGAATTCATTTTCTTATCAAATGTAGAAACATTATATCAGGAGTGTATCCTGACAAGTATATATATTAAACATTATAAGCAAAGGTTTAAGGACCTCCTGCTCCTTTAGAGAAGACAATTCTTTTATTGTGTTGGCAAAAATGCTTTTGGTTTCCTGCCATTAAATCTAAGTGGCAGTAAAAATTGGAGCAAAGTTGAAATGGTTCTTTATTCAATATATTCTTTAAGTGAATAATATATAACTGTAAGAATAATTTTACCTAAGAAGATGAAAAATTATGTTTCTTTATCATGTGAGGGGGAATGGGCATAATTATCTCCTAGTCAGATATAAATTTTTCTATCCATTTTGAACATTTTGCATATGCCTTGACTAGTGAGCCAATTTTACCATTTGAAAGCGGGGGAAGAAAGATCAGAAAACTCTTGCTAATTTATTCTAAATTGAATGGTGGTTTCATGGAGAAGTTTTCATTTAACTTATAATGATCAGATTGTGTTAAGTAGAACCAGACTATGGGTTAAACATTTCCATATGTTATAAAGACTCAGAAGTTTTCTTGAAAGGAGACACCATTCTAAATTCAGACATTACCTGCTGCTTCCAAAAATGGCTGCAATTCCCCCGGATAATTCCCCCCTTCCCAGCTCTGTGTGTTACATGTAAGTACCTGGAGAAGACTCTGTCCCCTGGTACTTCTTGTTACCTGGGAGGACCCCTAATTCTGCCACAGTCTTGGACCTCCACCAGCTACCACATTGCCCCTCCCCTGAGTCTTTTATACTTGCCTTCCTCCTCTGCTTATAAAATTAAAATCTAGGTAAATTCAGGGAAGGAAGGCACAGTTGACAAAATTCTGGAAGTCTGGTTCATGAGTTAGAGTCACTCTGAGCCTAGTGAAATCTATAAATGCTTCGTAACTCACCCCTTGTTGATATGACCTTTTGGTGACTATAACCATCCCCTCTTCATTTTATGCTCCAGAAGCTTGTGAGACCTCAATGAGTCAGGAAGAATCTTAAATTCAAATCCAAAGAATCCAAAGTGATGATAACAAAAAACAATAATTGACATCTGAACAAAGGTTAGTATTTGACAATGGATAAAGATTGATATACCTTCCCTTCCTCGGGGCTTTGTTGACATGAATTGTGAACGTCGTCTTCTCTTACCAACTTTCCAGGCCAGGAAGTCAGTCCTTTGATTTGGCCCCAGACCAAGTCACCAACATTGAACGTCCTTGGTCTATAATGTATCAACTCATTTGAAGAAGGGGAATCTGGATTCCTTAGATCATCTTCACTACTAATGCTTTTAGCGTCCGACGGGCTGGGCACACACCCATTAATGCTTTTGGCGTTAAAGTCTCCATTGTAATGGATGTAGTCTTTAACCAGAGAACTTTCCAAACTATTTGAGGAACTTGGAGACTGCTCCTCTAAGATTAGATCTTGCTTTGCAGTGCTTAGCAGCTCTCCAAATCCCCTACTCTGTCTAGGCCTGTTCCCATTAATATGTGCACATCTTTCCACCGTGTTCTCTAGTCTCTCCTTAAAACTTATCATAGTTCTTTTGTAGTTATTATATTTGAAATTTTCCTCCAGAATTTTATCCCCTTGACAGTTTCTTGGTGGTAACAATATTGGGTGCTGTTCCCCAGGCAGAAATGGCAGTGTAGAGACATTGTTGGGCCTTTCATGACAAGGACTACTGTGGATATGGCCTGGATGATCTAAAAATTCCTCATATTTCCATCTGTTGCGCTCCCCTCTGGGGCTTTGCTCCCCATCCCACTGTTTTTTGGATGTGTGGCAACTTGCTGACTTGAAATACTCAAACCCATCTCTTTCATTTGAGTTTTTCCCATGGTCTAGATTCTTGGACAGCCGGGCCCCTCTTGCATTCCTCAGCCTGCCTTCGTGATCAACACCTGCCATGTTCCGTCCATGAATGACCGCACTGACAGCGCTGGAGAGATTCAATGGGTCGCCAATCGAGGCAGTGAAGGCACTCATGGCACTCAGAGCTGGAATAGGGCTGATCTGAGTTGTACTGTTGACGGCAGTGGTGATGACAACCTGCATTCCTTTGCTGGCTGCATCGACAACTGCTTTGTATATGGCATCTACAGAAGCATCACCTTGGCTACCCATAACAAGACCATCCTTCACCTGCTGACCAAGAGATGGGTCGATCCTCTGTTGTAACTCACATGGCGTATCTTGGAAAGGTGCAAGTGCCGTGTTTGGATTCTCAGGAATTGCTGTGAGCCCAGGCTGAGTGCTTATTCTCTTGTTTAGGAGAGTTGCATCTTCCTGCATTCTTACCTGAAGGAACAGAAAGAAGTTAAGGTAAGGTAGAGAGAAAAACCTTTAAGGTCTCAAAGAAAAACACCGTAATTTTAAGATTTACCAAAGTACAAATTAAACAAGAAAGGAAATATAAAGAACAAGACTCAAAAATGGAAAAAAAAAAAAGCCCATTCTTTATGAAAAAAACTCTGGATTATATTTGGAGACTTGTTTTTTTGGTTAAAATCATTCAATTGGATTTTCTTTTTTTTTTTTTTAATTATCATTGCTACACATTTTCTAGAAAAATTAAACTTGAAATAGTTGAACACAAGATTGTTTTCAGGTTATGACTTCATTTAGTGGTGTTTCTCACGGATATTTCTACTTACCTAAATCAAATATGAGAGAAAATAAATTCCTAGATGACACTATGGTTTGGAAGACTTTAGATGTCCTAGTAACAACACCTACTCCTTAGCCTTACCAGCCACTGGCAACTGTGGACATCACACTGTCACCAAGGACTATCGTGCACTGTATATGTGATTTCTAATAGGGAAGAGATGAAAGAAGGAATTGCCTATCAGGGAACATACCAGAAGGATGAGTGCAGTTTGAAAAAGTCCCCAAAGTTACTGAGATTCACCTAAAAATGATTGCTTCAGATTCTTGATACTTTGGATTTATACTCCAATAATTACTCCCTTTCTTTATTTATATTCTTCTTTATTAAATGAGAACCTGGGATTCCACACAACCTCTCTCTTAATGTTATCCTTTTGTTTCTACTTACCAGATCAAATCCAAAACTTGTGTTATTTCACCTGTCTGTTTTATCTATACTGACAGTGAGGATGCTGAGTATCTTGTGGTCAGGAATATATATATGGTTTCCAACTTGTCCTGGGGACTTGTTGCTTGCCCTTCAACACTGTGATATTCTAGTAGGTATTACTATCATTCTCCATAGCTATTTCAATCTTCCTTTGCTTTTTTAAAGCTGGTTACTGTACTGCTTTCCACACTGCTCTTAGTAGATTACCTTAATTCACAACTTGGAGCTCAGCAGGTAAGACTTGGGCCAGGGATATAGCTCAGCAGTATAGTACCTGCCTAGCAAGTACAAGTTCCTGAGTTCAATTCCAAGTATCAAAAAAATTCTTATAATTTCACACACTCCAATATTTTCTGCTCCTAACAGTACATATTTCTCTGCAACTGTGTCTGCTCTAAATCTTGCCTTGCTTCCCAGTATAAGAGAGGTCATCTTTTGCTCTCTGAGTAAGTATTTATATTTTGTATTTATACTCTGGATATCAAGTCCTCTCTTAAGGATCTTGTCTTATTTATCGTCCTTTTTCTTCTTTATGTTCAATCACTTTCAAATTTTTGTCTTTTTATAATATGATTATGTATATGGCTTCCTTTTTTTTGTTGTTTTGAGGCAGGGTCTTGCTATGTAAGTCAGGCTGGCCTCAAACACACAGCAATCCCCTTACCTCTGTCTCCTGTGTGCTGAGATTATAGGTCTGTGACACTACATCTGGCAATGGCTTCCATATTTTAACTTTTTGTTTAAGCTGATGTTTTCCTTGAAGCACTGTTTTATTTCTCTTTGTTTTTCAAAGTGATTTTTTAGAAGGAAAATCCATAGTCTTTAATTCCTAATGTCTCATTTACCATTTCATCTTTTACAGTATGGCCCCTGCTATCACCGCTCCACTGAAACTACATTCTACCAACTCATTAGTCATATCCTAATGGCTAAGTACAATTGATTCTCTTCGAGCTTTGTTTTACTGGTGATATGATTAAGAACTTCTTTATCTTTTCTAATTATTATATAATATATATGTGAACATTACTGTCTTTCTTTCCTTCTTTTTTTCCTATACACATGGAATTATTTGTAGTACTCTTCTGGGAATACTAATACATTGGAACTAATACATTGCAGTCTTATGGAACTTCAATATTGGATTGTATAATTCTATTTGATATTCATTCTCTGTATGTAACTATTTCAACACCAATGAATTCTTAAATGGCTCATAATTTCCAATGCTATAAATCATATTGCAGTGAACATACTTTATGCAATTCTTTTCTTCACACTTTTAGACTTGTCTTAAATAGACACTTAGATGTTGAACTTATGGGCCAAAGGATCTACATATTTAAAAACTTGATAAGCTACCAAATTATCCTCCAAAAGACATGAACAAAAGAGGATCTATTTTCTCATCTCTGTGTCAGCAATGGTTATTCTCAATCCAATGGACATGCGGTTATAATCTGTATAATATCTAATTGTTATTTTCATATATTTACTAATAACCTATCTTTGATTTTCTGTGTATTTTGTGCTTATGTCTATTGGTCATTTTTTCCTAGTAAATGACCCGCTTTCTTCTTGATTTATAGAAACTTTTTATATTATAGAGTATGCATTGTACAAATATTTTCTTCTAGTTGATATTTGCCTTTTACTTTGTGTAGAATGTCCTTGATCATGATTTAAAAGTTTTATATTCAACTGTTACTTTTTTCTTTTGACACACTGATTTTGTGTTAAAGAATCTCCTTTAAGATTCTATATATTTGAAAATTCTGTATTTTGTTCTTATATTTATTTAGTGTTACTCTCTCCATCTAATTTTTTAATCTAACAGGAATTTATTCTTTTTGTAGAACCAAAGAAAGGTCATGTGGCTGACATCAGGAGAGGGATACAAACTCAGGCTGGAGAGGAAAGTTGGTGGGCAACTTGGGGGTGAAGCAATCATGAAGCAATGAGAACACAATAGCATTCAAAAGAGAAACATCCATTTTTAACACACAGCTCCAAAAGGGACTATTGCTTGAGACAAAATAAAATTACCTTTGAAGGAAAGACTGAAATATTTAATACCCAATAGTGAGAAATAACAAAACAGAGATAAAAGGGAACACCACCTACTTTTTTCATTCCTTCCCTAAAATTAAGTGTCTAAACAAACTCAGATACTGTTTTCTACTCGAGTGGCTTAAGGAAGGAGAGTACCTGAAAGTTTTGAAACAGACAAGCCATGGGGTTACTGTTAGCTGGGCAAGGGACTGAGGGCTGTCCTTGGAAGGCCTGGAGATTCTGGTACCCCTGGAGAAGTTGCTGCTGTTGCTGATTTGGAGGAAACATCTGATTGTTGTTTAACAGCGACTGTAGGTGAGTCAGTTGATGGTTATTCAAAGTATTGTTTATTGATGACATATCACCTACAATTTGAAAGACATAAAATATGAATCAATATGATTTTTCAGAGATCCTATGCCTATCTTTATACCTGAGAATTTCTGAAACAAAAACTAAAACCTAAACCTACATGGATAATTTTTGTTTTCTTCTCAAAGTCTTACTAAGTGGTAAGAAACAAGTAGTTGTATTATTTAGTTATACCTTCCATAATTAGATTTTTAAAAATTTTTATATCCGTAAAGACTAGTTAACCCTTGCCCTAGAAATTAGCCAACTGTTATATTTTAAGCTTCCTTGCCTCTATTTCTTGCCTCTATTTTATTAGAACACCTACAATAAATGGTTAAAATTTGTCCTAAAATATTTTTGCAATCATAAATAATTTACCAGATGATTAAAATGAGTGGGTGTGATAGATCTCGTTTGTAAAATTTCATTCTTAAGCCATAGTCATCAGTAAACACCTCCAAGTAAAATAAGAGATTTAGTTCAGAAATGCACATTTTATGTTGAAGTAAAACATTAGTCACCTAAAATTGAAATTATAAAGAAAGCTAACAATATAAAATTTCTATCTTAAAAATAAATATTAAGGATATTAATTACTAGCATTAATTAGATTGTATAGATCTTAAGTATTAAGAATTAAATTTATATTTAAAATTCAAGATTATTTTGCAGTTATAAAATTATTCTGCAATGACATAGAAATTGCCATGTAACTTGAAATTTATAAATTTGTAATGCTTTTTAAGTTATTTAACAATGCTTTCAAGGCCTGATAAAATTAGTTATGCTATCTCACAAAAGTGTCCATAAATTGTGGAAAGAAGTATTTTAAAAAATGTTTTTACGTATTGAAGATGCCCATGACACCATCGTGGATATTTGCCTGTATTCCTGGACTTCATGGATACCTTCCCTATATTTTATGCTATAGTTATATGCATCCATCAGTTAAATTCACTTGACATTATTTTCTGACTTGTTTGTGATGGGATAACGAAGGGTTTTATTTTAAAGACACAAAAATCTGAAATAATAATTTGGCTTGAGGAATTCTAAAATCAGTTAGAGGGGCTGTTTCCTTGAAATTGGGTGAACTTTAACTTTGAGTGTTTTTATGGCTTTTTATATCGCTGGAAAAACATTTAGTTTTTTTTATTTTTATTTTTTTTATTTAGGGTTTTCCTGGAAAATACTTCTTCAAACCGTTTCCATCCACAATGCAGCTGCTCATAACTAACCCTGTGATGCCACACCAACTAAAATTGAAGTCAGTTATTTAAAAAATGTTCCTGTGCTATGATTTGAACATAAAACTCTACTTGGGTTAATAGAATGATGGGTAGGTAAGGTTTGGGTGGCATCAGAATTAGAAGAGAAAGCAGATTAAAATGATATTTAGTATTGCTAGAATAAAGGAAAAGAAGAAAATCATTCATGTTTGTACAACTATGATTGTGTGTGGGTGGTGTTATATTTAGTTCCTTAAGCAAACTGTGACATAACAAAAACATTTTTAAAAATAGTGTGATAAAATGGAGTTTTTAAAAAGTAGAAAATAGAATTAGAAAAACGTTCTTTTTAAAAAAAAATTTGTGAAAAAATTTAACTTACCAAGCAGACCTGTCCCCAGTAGAGGGTTAAGTAGCTGTGGCACCACAGAGTTACTGTTGAGTTTAGCTGGACCAGGTGTGTCCCCAGAATTATTAGATATATTCAGCAATGTTTCTGCCATTGACACCACTGCTGTCCCACCAAGTGTTGAGACAGTCAGTGCTGCCACTGCTGATGATGTAGTGGTTGTGGTAGTGGTTGCCTGGGAGGAGGTTGCTATGGAAACCTCTGGATGATTAGCAGTGTTGACTGATGCTGAGTTCAGGACACCTCCCAACAGCTGGGGATTCAAGGCTATTAATCCTGAGGCCCCAGTGACAGCTGGGAGGAATAGGGGGTTAAAAGTAGTGTCACTGCCTGCAAAATTTGGTACATGGTTCCCCAGGGGGTTGGTTAAAAGGGTCTCAGCTCGGCTGTTGTCTGACTGATTGCTTGGCAAATGGTCTGGTGGGGCTGTCATCTGTGCTAATGGGGGTAAAGGGGTATTTTGTTGTTGTAAAAGATCTGAGATAGTCAGATTGAGAGACGGCAGGGGAAGCATGGCAGCTGCTTGGGCTTGGTTCTGAAGCAGGGCTGCTAAGAGCTGAAAGTGAACAGGCTGTAATACCTGTCCATCCATGTCACCGGAGAGAAAAGCTAAAGCAGTGTTTACATTTGGGTTGAGAAAACCTAAAGGGTGGAGGTTGATCTCAGACTTGCCTTCTCCTGCTGAAGGCTGGAGGATATTTAATAGATTCTGGTTTAGGAGATGCTGTTGATTCACTGGCAAAGAGATAGGTAGAGAACTGAGGAGGCTGGGGTTCAAGGGGTGTGGAAGATGGTTGTTTGAAGTGCTGTTGGATGGAAAATGAAGTGCGTGCTCCTGGCCAACAAAAGGAAAATCACTCCCAATGGGCAGCTGATTCTGCAGGGGGTTTCCAGATGCGGTGGTGACTATGACTCCATCTTGAAGAACAGATGTTGTCTTTGTGATGGCAGGATGACTGGAGCCAGCTATGGCTATGGAGGAGGATGGGCCTGTACTGCCTAAAACAGGGGAAAAAAACCCAGTTATTATGGAAATTGAGTAAGACTATCCCTAAAATGCATTATGAAACATTTCAATGTACAGCATTTATTACATGGCACCTTCATCGACTGTAACTGCATTAATTGTATCAGAGAAGATTTAACATCTGTTAATGGAACTTCACTTGAAAATATAGTGAAAAAGTTTGACATGTTAAGAAATAGCTCATGCTGAGTATCAAAAAGGCAAAGAAAGAGACAAGTAGAGAAATGAGGTGGCTGGGCCGCTGGACAAGTGATGACGGCAGAATCTGTTGTTCATTCAGTTCTTCATTTTGTTTGTTTATTTTAAAAAAGTTTGTGGTCTTTATTTATAAAAAAAGTGCCTTCTTTTAATGGTAACAAAACAGAATCCTCTCAAACCTAGAACGTACATGAATGTTTAAGCAGAAGATTAAAAAGTATCTAATAGAGATAACAACAATTAGTATTTTAGTGTATAGCTTTCTGCTTATTCCCACATATATATACATTTGCAAACATATATGTACACATTTAAGCACATATAGATATATTTTTAAAATAAAATAGTGATAGACCTTTTAATCATTTTGTAAGTTTTTTCATTAATAAATAAATGTATTGTGAATGTTTTCCCGTAAACTCATATAGGTACAGAATTTTATTTTACTAGTGCCATGTACTGATATACAGAATGTAATAAACATAGCCATAAGTATTTTCCAATGTTTTACTATTACAGGCACTATGATAATCATTTTTATTAACATGTATTTGTAATTTTGCTCAATTATTTTCTAAGGATAAATTCTTCAACATGGAATTCCAGAGATAAAAATGTTTACATATTTCAAAAGCTTAAATACATACTGTTAAACTACTCTTTTGAAGTTGATCATGATGTACACATTGTTTACATTCCTATAAACAGTGCTCATCTCTAAGAAACACTATTTTATCATGATTTTTAAACAATGAATAGAAGTAATAATTTCTGTCATTCTGATATTACAAAAATATTCTTACTTATGACTTCTTAAATTAGGTCAAGCTTCATGGACATAGCATTTTTACTCTTGAAAGTCTTACATTAAAGATGAAAATTCAATATATTAATATTTTCAGATACAAAATTTCATTTGTCATAATTGCATTAGTGGTTCCCAACCAAAGTTACACAGTAGAATTATCTGGAAAAATTAAAAAGAACAAAACAAAACTAAACACCAAAATAAACCAATACATGGACACTAGACTAGCTGGAAATTCATTACTCGAGGTGCAGCATGGGCAGCAGTTATTCTGTGGAATTACCCCTGGTGATCCAGATCTCATGGGGTGAGTAGGGCAGGGAAGATGAAAAGCATATTCTACTGAAAAGCAATCTACAGTCACTTTTTCTTGATTAAAGAGCTTCTCCTGAACAGATGCATTCTTTTAGGCAATACATGCATTTTGTCATTATAAGCATATATATTTAATTTTAAACTAATAAAATTATATATAATGTAATAAACAATATCCATGTCACTAAAAATCTAAAACTCAAGCATTTTAATGCTTTTACATTTGACCATGTTAGCATGGAAGCCTTATCAAAATACACAGAAACATCTCCATAGTTATAATGATAGTAAAATTAATTATATACTTGTTTTATCTAATAGAATAACATAATATTTCCTTGATATATATGGACAGGTACCAGGAATCAAACTTAGGATCTCATGCTTGCCAGGAAGGCACTGTGCCACTGAGTTAATCCCCAGCACCTGCAAATATATTTTTAACTGTGTAATATATGGATTCACTACACTTGTTGAACCATTCTGATAAAGTTTCACATGTGTATTTTGAGTTTTCATCATTATATTGTAATATAAGGAAGAATACTTTTATGTTCTTGCTACCACTGAATTATCTCCTCAGGGAAAAAATAAATCACCCTTGGTATGATTGTTGTGAGTGTAAAAAGTTGTGAGAATAAAAAGTAAGTAAAAGGTTTGTAAGTGTAAAAGTCTACACTGATTAAAGGAGTTAGCATTATTGTTATAACTGACATTCGTAGTGGTAACAGAAGTAAGTATAAGCATTTCCAACATACCTTACAGAGTATCTCCATAGGAAGGATTTGTAATTTTTCCCCATCTGTTATGGTGCTTTTTTGTTTTTAAAGTTCTCAGTGTTTTTTTTAAAGAATAAAATTTTTAAAAATCTCTTTGAAAACATATAAATATTTATGAAATATTATCATGAAATAATGTCTATGTTCATAAAGATTAGGGTCAGAAGACATACCAAATGCTGAAATATGCATATTGTGTAGAATTCTTTAAATATTAACCCCGATTTTTTTTTACAAAACAATCAACACCTTAAATATTTCATTGCTTCTTAAATCTTGATGCTATTTCCATAAGTACTGTGCAGTATTTGCATTTGAAAACAATCTTTTAAATAGAAGTAGTAAAAGTCTTATTTACTAGTAATTACTATCCTCCCTGCTTAAAAATAATGCTATATTTAAATGTAAAGAGCATTGTTTTGTCAGCAAAGCACATTTTAAACACGTTAGCATATACATGGCAACATTGTGAGGATAAAGATTTTTCTTAGAGATTAATGGTGTTTATGATCTTTAGTTTGCAACAGAGAAGCAACCATATTTATGATTCAAGAAAGTAGTTATTTAGGGATAATATTTCTTTTATAATTCTACATCTAAATATTTTTGAGGAATTACAATAAAATGTATAGTTACCCTGGACGTATTATTGCCTTATGAACAGGAAAGTAGTGAATATCATAAGCTTTTTGAAAGTAATATATGGATCAAGATGTATTTTTCATTTTGCATGAGTTTCAACAAATCAATAAACAGGTATGTTCTGTTGGACAATAGAAGAGAAACAGTGATATAAAATAAAATACCCAGCCCTTTCATACAGGAACCACCAGTGTGAGCACAGATATGAAGACAAATCTGTTTTTCTTTATTCTGTGTAAAATATACATTTCTGGAGTTTTAAACTAGGAAAGTTTAAAACTCTTTTCACGTGTTAGCTATTATAACTACAAAGCAATATGGTTAGAGCTACAACTGATGTGTTTAACAGGGGACAATTATGAAACTGAAGGTGTCAGAGGAAACCAAATAGGTAGTATTATCTGGAACCTCAGAGATGAAAGGATAAAAACTGTTTCTCAGTAGAGACATAATGATTTTTTTTAATACAAGGAGATAATGTGGAAGATAGAAGTAACGAGTCTTGTATGTCTCCAAAACAAAGAAACACAACTGAAAATATGTGTGTGGCCTTCCCACACCCTAGCTCCCTCTGCCCATGGTTAAACCTGCTGTCTTACGCAAATAGTAAAGAAAGCTGAAGTTGTTTTTCTAAACCATTCAAGGCAAGACATATTTCTAATATTCCTTTGTATTTAAAGACTTAACACAGCCTCTGACACATGGGTAACATTCAAAAAATGCTTGTGGTTGAATGTATCTATTAAGACCATAACACCTGCACTCAACTTCTGGAAATTAATTTGATGCCATGTATGAGCATGTATGTAGAGAAAATGAAAACTGAAACTAATGTATTGGTCCAGTGCCAGGAAGCAAGGGATACTTGAAAGGAGATGGTCAGATGACAAGTTACTTTAGAAAGCTCCCAGGTATTCTAAGAAGTTAGAACTATCTTATAGAAGGGCAGACCCATGCCAGAGTATATTTAGTTCTTGAAGTCATCATTAGTGCTTGGGGTCATTCAAAGAGGAACCTAAATTTGTATGAAATTTTATAACTGGAGGAAAATTTGGAAAGTTTATTTCTGGACCACTTAATCTTGAGTAGGCACTATCTGGTGAACTTTTTAATAGTTCTGCATAAAAATCTTACAGTTTGTTGAAGCATGGGGAGATGTTTGGCTGGTTTTTGGTTTTGTAGCCGAGATATTTTATGTTAATGAAAGGGGCAGTTGCTAAGTGTTTCTTAAAATGTAAATTATTCATTAAATATTTAACAGCTAAATAACCAAAAGGAAGCTGGAATTCTGAAACAAGTTACAAATCAAAATTCTTTAACTGGAAAAAATTATTTTATACCAGCCACCATGAACTGGCAATTTCTTTTTCTCATTGTCTGTGCTGCTTTTAAAGAGTAGGTGAGGTGGGGTGAGGTACTGGAAGTCTACTCAAATTAACTTGGTAGGTGCTGGATAACATTCTTAGACACCCAGTGATGGAAGAAGTCTAGTCTTATAAGGCAACAGTGGTAGCTTCCCTCATACGGTAGATTTCCAGATATGTAAGACTCTGCACATGTGATTTGTGCATCTATATGTGTATATGTATACAGAAATAGCCATCAGTAAAAATTTTAAGGATTTTAAAGGAGATATTTTTCTAACATTATTAATTGAATCCCTGAGAATGTTTACTTGTTCCAATTTTAGAACTGATTTTCAAAATGAGGTAATGTCTACTTTTTTAGATTTATTTTTCTTCTGGTCACAAACATTCCTTGAGAAAGCAATTGTTCCTATTGTGCCTAATTTTTATATGCCTGACTCTTAAATATACATGCATTCAGAAAAAAAAGCATAAAGCTCACACCAAGTAAATCAATTAAATATTTAAAAAGATGGTCTATTCTATATCTCCAATTTTGATTATATACTATGCTAAGAAAATATATCTAAAGTGATATGTCCAAATACTTATCAATATATCTATAAAATTCATGAACTTAAGAAATTAGTCATGGCTGGGGATTTAGCTCAGCGGCATAAACGCCTGCCTTGCAAGCAGGCAGTCGTGAGTTCGATCCCTGGTACCGATAAAAAGCAAAAAGACCAAAAAAAAAAAAAAAAAAAAAAAAAAAAAAAAAAAAAAAAAAAAGAAATTAGTCATATAGAAGGTATATGCACTACTCAACCTTTGCCATTTGCTTTGAAAGTATACTTTCATTGTAAACAGGGTCAAAAGCAATCCTT